AAAAAGGACTCAAATCCACTCCTGAAATCATCACTGAACAGAGAACCCGACTCCATCCCTGCTCGCTCACACACTCACAATAGAGGGACTGTCCAGGACAGGAGCCTGCTGATGTAATGGCCCAGCAGATAAATCAATGGATTGTGAGAGGAGCTGCTGGTGAGAAAGGACTTCACAGGACAAACTTTCCCATTTGAAACCAAGCAGGAGACACCTCTCATGTCAAACACAACAACACAGCAAAACTTTAGTCACTCCCACTGAAACAGCCCCGTGTCAAAGGGTCACACACTGAACTGTGCATGATTTGCCAAGCAACACCAGATTCATGTTGATGGTCTTCATTTATTTTTAGTTACTGTCCTGTCTCTGAGAGAACATTTCCTGCCAAAAGCTGGTTTTCCTGCTGTTCCACTAAATAAATCTATTGGATGCAGGATCTCCTGCCTGTTACCTCAGCTCCTGATTTCAGGCTCACCTTCTGCCTGCCCAGTCTTGGCCAGCAGCGACCCCAGCTCCAGGATGCTCTGCTCCTTGACTTGCACCGCTTCCTCATCGTTTTCCTGGACATCACGTTTCACTGGGAAGAAAAAGAGCAGCAAAGTTGCCTTTAGTGCTGTTTCAGGTCAAACACCAYCACTGGAGCTGGTCAGCTCCCAGAGAGGTGCCCCAAAACAGGCAACAGAGACTTCAGCCTGGCCCATGAGCTCTGGAAGTTGAAAKGCAGTGCAGGGAAGTTTGAAATGTTCTGTGTGTGCTCCACAGGGGCTCTCCAGCCCACAGACCCCACTGCTCCCTCCAGGACCAGGGCTGAACGATCTCAGCTTGTCCAGCAAATGTCACCAACAAATGCACCACACACCAGACCCACAGAACTACATAAAAGACATTTAACAGCATTTCTGAGGTTGGATTCTCCACTCTGGAAGCACTGATGTTGCTGCTTTGTGTATTAAGCTGAGATCTCATGGATGAAATGGAGCACATCAGCAAAGGGAGGTGGGACTATCCCCACCCACTGCCAATGCTGAGCCCTGGCAGTGCCATCACGCTCTGCTCCAGGGAGGGACTCTGCTCTGAGGCAGATAAAGGGACAAGGGACAGCCAGCAGCACCACCCCGAGTGTGCACAGCATCAATTCCATGAGAATTACACACCACAGAGCCCTCCCTGCCCTGCCACCGCCCCCAGCGCAGGGAGCTCCTCCAACTTCCACACAAACACAGCCAAAATCCCGGCTCCAGGGATCTGAAACTCTCAGTCCCTGTAATTCCACACTAAAAATGGGAACTTCTACTCTCCAGGAGAAAAGCATCACAGCACCATTGTCTGGGCCACTCCTGCTCCTCCCAACCCACAAGGGGCTGTGAGTCCTGACTGAGCCTGACCCGCTGAGAGCAGCACCAACTACGGAATAAGCAGCGAAACACAAGGCACCAACAACTCTGAAAGCCCTGACAGCACCTCCGAGCTCTGACAGGGACACCAGGAAAACTTTCCCCGACGCAGCAGGGTGACAGCAGGTCACAGCATCCCCGCAGAGGTCACCACACAGCGCAAGGATCAAGAGTTAATGGCTCACACAGCACTCTGGAGCTCTGCACGGCACAACCCCGACCCCGGAGCAGGCGAGGTGCCCACGCCACCTCCACAGCACCGACATCTCCCTGGCACCACGGAACGGCCGGGAGAGCCCAACGGGGCCCGCGCTGGGAGCAGCCCCGCTGGGACAAGCGAGAGCSAACACCGAGGAACTTCCCCAGCGAGGAGCTCGAGTTCAGCCCCGCACCCGGGACCGGCCCGGGAAGGGCGGTTCGGCAGCGGCCGAATGTCAKCGCTGCCGGCCGAGCGAGCCCGGGGCCGCACCGGGCAGTGACACCGCGCCCCGGACACGCCGCGAACCGCCCCGACCCACAGAGCCGCGACACCCCGCCGCTACCGTCCATAGCACCGCCGCGGCCCCGCACACGCCGATCGCGGATCCCGGACAGGCAGGCTCACAACGGCCGAGCGGGAAGGAACGGCCGGCTCGGCCCCGGCGCTGCTCCGAGCGGCTCCGCGGACACGCACCGGGGACCGGCCCCGCCGCCGGGCTCCCGGAGCGCGG